ATAACCTAAAACCTAAATTTAAAGGTTATTTATTTATTTATTTGACACTTCACATGCAACTTGTTGCATAACAACAACAAAAAAAAATCTCGAGTTGGAATATTTTTTTCGGAAAAAAAAAAATAATCCAATCTTTAATCCATGCAAAGAAGAAGGATTTTGTTGAAACTACTAAAAGATATGGTCTAATAATAAAAAAAATTATTTTTATTTGAATAAAAATTAAATTTTTATTTGTATTATTTATGAATAACGTTATAATTATTTTTTAATAGTATTAAATATGAACTGATTTTGTGTAAAAGTCAGTCTAATGATCGACCAAAATAATAGATATATTCTATTATTTTTATTTTTCTCTTCCTTTCTTTAGCTAAATAAAACAGAAATTGAAATTGAAATACATGTACACCATTTTTTTCTCTCTTGTGATCTGTGACATAATATAATTTAAATAGAACTAATTAGGTTCTCTTTCTTTTCTTTTTTCCATGGTTAACATTCCCCCAAGAGTAGCATAGACCAAATCAAACATGAGATCTAGGGTACTCTCTAGAGCAGCATAGACCAAATCTAACATGAGATCTTGGGACTCTTTAGAGTCTATATCTTGTCCCCCAAAGCCTACTTTAATGCTTGACGATTACTCTACTTTTCTTTATATATATATATTTCATGGCCTCATATTCATATTTTTTTTAAAATCTTTGTACAATATTGTTCACATTGTTTATAACTAAATTTCAAGAAAAGTCAGAAACAAGAACAAAAATATGTTGGCAAAGTAGCTAAACAAGAGTTTAACTACTAACTAACCCAACTTCTTGCTAGATTGCACCCAAAAATATATAAAACCTTAATTATTTTCATTTACCTGCATTAATCAATCTTTTTTAATTAAACAAGAATTTTCCTGACTTACATTTCGTCTCCAAAACACTTAATAATAGCAATATATAAATGGAATGCTCAATTTATTGGGTTTCCTTCTTAGTTGGAGGATGACCCAAAAGTTTACCTATATAAGCCTAAATCTTGGAGCTCATATAGAGGAGAAATTTTTTAATCACTTGAAGGGTAATTTTGATATTTCTAAATAAACTCTCTCTTCTCTTTTATTCTGAAATTAGATTAGGGAATAAGGTGGAGAAAAAAAAGAAAAGAAGTGAGAGTCGTAACTTTCTACCGTAACTTTAGAGAGAAAGAGAGAAGAAAGTTTCAACACGGACCGATCACGTTAAAGCCGAGTTTTTGGATTTGTTAACGGTTGAATTGAGCTCAAATTTGGTGCACATTCAAAAGAGACATACGCACATTTTGAACAATGAAGATCTGGTTTTAAGTCCTAGAGAGTGAGATATAATGCTCGTAACGGTGTTATTTTCTCGATAAAATCGAACTTCGTTTCTTTTCTTTTCTTTGGGTATCATCTATTGATGTGATTTATCAAGGGTGTGCAACCTTTGATGTTTGTAATCGATTATTCCTCTAGTTTAATCTAGAGAGGACTAATTGTATTATTTATTATTATTGATAATGAAAGTTATTATGGACTCCGATCCCATGGTTTTTTCCTTCTCAAATTGAGGAGGCTTTTCACGTAAAATTTGTGTGTTTCTTATGTGATTGACATTTTATTTTTCAGATTATTAGTTACATATTTCAGCTTGAGTATTTGGTTATAGCCTGTATTTAATTGTTCAAGCAAAAATAAAGAGGTTTCGTTGTATTATTTTTGTTTTTTTGCCCAACACAATTTTCATTTTAAAAAAAATCATAATAGACTATGCAATTTTTATTTTTTTTAACAATGTTAGAATATGTTTAATTTTTTTTAATCAATTATTGAGTATAAAATTTAGTATCATTAAAAAATAATTATAACCAATTATCTATAAATAAAAAAATTAAATTTGAATTAATCAAATTAAAATAATTATTTTACCGCTAGACCAAATCTTTGCTGTAAAAGTTGAGGATTTTTCATTTATACATCAGAGAAATTGTTGTATGCAATTTACGTCTGAAGTCACCAGCCACGAGATCAAACATATCAGTTGTTCACTTTTTTAAAAAAAAAAAAAATTTATTACAATTTTGAGAAACCTTTTTGTATAATGCTTTTATGAAAAACTCTTGCTGTCAAAAGTCCACCAAAGCTTCTTTTTTCTGTAAATTTTGATTCCAAATCTCTTTGTCTGGAAAAAGAAATCCTTTGTCGTCTTCTTTTTTATTTTCTTGATTATAAAAAGCTGAAAGTGTTGAAAATTGTGATGCTGACTTGGTTCGTGCATATTCATAATTACTTTTATGTTCTTTTATTTATAATAAGTGTTAATTTATTCATATAGTTGGAATGTTTTTGTTTCCTTTATTTGCTGAACTAAAGGATGATCAAGTAGGAGATTAACATAATTTTTTTTTCATCCAAAGATCCATGGACTTATTCATTAAGACTCGAATCTATTCGATTGAAAAAAGTTGTCAGATATATAATCATTATACTATATGTTTATGTAAAATTAAGATAACTTTGGTTTCAAATTTATTATTATTGATAAAAAACAGTAAAATAAGATGAGGTTTCATTGACTATAGCAATGATTTTTCAAATTGAGTTTTTATTATTAATATCCTTTTATTATTTTTATTTTATTTCGGTTTTTTGGGCCTTTTTTTGTCATTTTACCCAACTAAAATTCATGCATCACGTTTTAATCTTTACTTGCATGTCCATCAAACAAAAAGTCTTGCATGTATATCCCTTCTCTTTTTTTAATAACCAAAACTGCTAAAATCTTCTTACTTTTGACAAGTGTGCTTTGCTAATTTTGGCTCGACTTTCTTTTTTCGCTTTACATAGAATGATGATTGAATGAGTTCACACACAAAAATGGAAAATCAGATTAACAGGCATTAAGCATGAAAAAAAAAAAGTTTTTCTCTGGTTTTTGAAGAAAAAAAAATTAAAAATAATTAATTCATAGTTAAAAGTTATATATATATAAAAAAGAAGGGATTTGTTATAGGTACAAGGCTTATGCACAAAGACCAATTATATAGAGCTTATAAACAAAAATAAATGTTAAAAAAAGATTAAAAATAGAATTCACGTATTTTGTTTATTTCTTTTTTATGTAATGAAAATTTATCAAAATCAAATTTTCATTCTCCATGTACATATTTTAAAAAGTTAATCTTCTCGTCAATATTCAATAAGAATAACTTTAAAAAAAAAATACTTAAATTTATATAATTTTTTTTACACTAACTCGTTGCTTTATTTTTCGATGCAATCTTATAAAAAAAATTCATTTATACATTTTTTTTATTTCTGATTAATTAAAAGTTCCTCTTTAGATGATTGCAAAATTTTATTAAAGAATCCATGTATATATATATATATAAGGCAATCTGTTAAAAAGAAGGCACGAGAGAATTAGTTAAATACAAAATTTTGATTAAAAAAATTATAAAGTTAACTGAAAAACATTTGATTTTATACTTTAATTTTGATATATTTTTAATGTAACCATGCATGGTGAGAACTATCAAATTAAAATAATTTTTTTTATGATTTCATCTATTTTTCTTGATCCGCATCGTAATGCGATAACCAACTAGTGTCTTCTATAAACAATTAATTGGTGGGGTGATTGCCAAATCCAACTTCTCTTAAATTTAGGTTTTTTTTTTTTCCTATTCAAATCAGTTAAATTCAGCAAATTGCCAATCTTCAACAAAATCATTTTGTGAATTTTTTGTTATGTAGACATAAAATGTGAATTTAACGTACAAGTGTATAATATAATAACTTAATTATGAGAGTAGGTGTAACTAAATTAAGGTGTTTAGAAGGCAAATTAGGCAGCACGAACAAGCTTTCGAGGAGCCGGTGGTCAAGCCATAGTGGTGGCACGATGAGCAGATAATTCGACCTAGTCCCATATTAGACTGTAGTGGGTGACAAGATTTTCTTCATAAAGGTCAAAATGCACTAAAAATTCAAGTGGGCTAATATCTATCTCGCATTCATGTTTTGTTCCTCTCCATTACCTTGCCATTTGACTCATGGAATTCGAAGTCAATTTATAATGCATGGTTACTTGATTTTTATCGTATCTGGTTTATTGCCTTGTTGCCTATAATTAACCACAGCTAACTTACATTAGAGTGTTTAAAATCCGTTTTCAATTCTGCGTTGAGATTTGGAATTTTGAAGTCGGATATGACAAGATACAAGATTTGTTAAAAATCTTTAAAAGAAGAATACCAGTAAAATTACAAGAATTAAGTTTGAAATTTATTAATCAACGATAACTAATAGTCCAAAATAATCAAAATCTAAACAAAAATAAGGAAAATAAATAAATAAATAAGGTATAGTTTTTAAAGAGCAACAATCTGAGCTTGTTTTGCTAGTTTGAATGATAAAAGAGCTCAAAAATAGGATTTTGTTGTAGATTTTGACTTTAAAAGCGGGTTCTCATGGCTATTGCAATCTTATTATGTTCTGAGTTTTTGAATTAACTTTTCGAATTGATAGAATGAAAAATAAAAGTTATAGCCCGTTAAGACCAGTGCATGTTTGTCTTACCTAACTATCTTTTTGAGTTGTCATATTTTCATTTTAAGACACCAGAATGATAGAATGAAAAATTTAGGACAGCTATAATCATCTCAATTGCGAGTCAGATTACAGTTGAATATGAAACATCGAATCTTGGTCCGAAAAACAGGAAGTCAGTTGTATCCTTCCATGGTTAATTTTTTTTTTTTCCTTCATTCATTTTTTCTCAACAAAGTAGACTCCTCGAGCAACGTATCCCACTACTTTAGAGGGAGACTATCTATCAACAATGTTCAGGCCACCACTTTCAGAAGCAATCACAGCCGTGCATCTGCAAGCATCCGTAACAAGACAATGAATCCTATTAATTATCAGAGAACATTTTCGGTGGAGAGAATAAAATAGTTTACAAGTAAGAAGTGATAGCAGACTATGAGGCATAAACCAGAAGAAGTTGCAAAAATGTTCTGTAGTCTACGTTGTTACAACCATCTGTGTAAGTAAACAGATATGAGAAAACAAGTAAGAGTTTGAAAAGAGACAAGAGAACTAACGGGAACTTGGAAATGACTCCGTGATCGACAACGCCATCAACTTTATCAAGACTTTTGGCTATGTCAGCTGCGAATCAGGATTAACATGCGGTCGTGGAAAAGAGAAAGTTAATGCAAGGAGAAAAAGATAGGACGAGAAAAAATCGTGATTATAGACCTACCAAGGCTTTGTATTGGAGATGTGAAGATTACATCAAGAATGTTGTGACCTTCTCTAGTAATTACAGGGAAATCGCCTCCCATCGGGCCTGCTTGTCCTATCAATGATCTCCTCCATACCTTTGAATGCCAAGCAAAAGGGGAAGGGGGGAGGTGGGCATTAGAATTTGAATAAACAATTAATCACAACTCCATATTTCAGGAACCTCTATTACATGATATAGTTTGTTCAGAGTAGCCATTGTTTCAACCAGGCAAGGTTCGAGAAAAATCATTAGATGCAGAAGTACGAAAAGTTAAAAACTGTTTGCGGAAAGGATCATCCTTATGCGGGGAACATAATAAGTAATAATCTTTCTCGTTAGATTACATCAGAAGGCACAAAGATTGGTAAATAGAACGAATCCTTTCTATCATGGTATAGACCACTGCTTATTATTCAGGGGACATGATTCCTCAATGATGCTTGCCTAATGAGGTTTTTTGTGAAACATAACTTTTTCTGCTACTTTGGAGGAAATGGCCTAGTCTTTCATTCTTTAAACCTTTAACTGAAAGGTAATCAACTTAATGCTGTGTTGTGAGCTGTAAAGTTCATACCTCTGCATCACCTACAAACAGGTCGTCAATCTCTTCAGCAGTTTCCATCCAGTTCAGCTGAAATATAGATGCAAGTGTTAATCAGGTCATCAATATCTTGTTCTCGCAGTTAATGCTTCGCATATATGATAATCTGTATGGCTTACGGCTTCAACCAAAACCGGTATAGAACCTTCTAGACCTCCTTTGTACTGGTTTTCCATAATCATGAATACAAGCTTACTGGCTGCATTGAGTATTGACTGCAAGAGGTTGGGAAGAGGAAAGCTAACCAGTCAGAATTTGATACTGAGACACCAAATTTGAGATATCAATTCAGAACAATTTCTCAATAAATACATGTGATTATCATTTTATCCACAAATGATTTAGAAAAATTTCCTTCATGCCTAGAGTATTAAAAACTAGACTCACCTTCTCTTGAATGATGGACTCCTCAGCTTGTGATTTCCCACGACCAATGACTGCAATGAGTGTTTCTTCTTCTATGATATCAGCATCATCAAATGCAAAATCAATCTACAAAACAACAACTTAAAAGTGACCCAAGAATCAGGTCCAACATTTCAAATATTTTAATAATCAAACTATGGAATGCACAAAGAACTGCTAAAAATTTTTGTGCTACCAATCCACAATGGGCGAGACGCCCTGCCTTTAACCTAAGCGTGGGGCATGCTAAGAGAGTGACTCCATTCGATTATGGGCAGATCAAAGTCACTGCATCTGCCTAGATAGATTCTTCTTACCATAACAAGGGACTTTACAAGTCAGCACTACTTGTAGAATTAGTAGCTTGGCTGTAATCTGTTGTATCTGTTTAGAGACTACCTTAGCAGAAACTTTGTATCTCTCTTCAATGCAATTGATTTTCATTTAAAAAAAATGCCACCACTACTTGACTCGACGAACTACTAACCATTTTGTTATAATTAGGGAACAAATTCTTAAAGGGACTAGTTTTCCATTCTCACTTGTCAATAAAAAATTTCTTTCCATATGAACTTACAAACAGACAACCTATCTGATCATATAAAGTTTTCAAATCTTCTCGTACAGGCTAGCTTTTGTTTCATGATGTTCTCTTGCAAATGCATACAACTTTTACTGCATGTTCTTTCATATAAGCATGCAAGTGTGCCATCCAGAACTAGTGAAAGCATCAATAAGAAGGAATTTTGAAAGATGCAGAACTTTAGCGCACTTGTGAACCATCTCGGTATACGTCCAGTGGGATGCCAGCCTTTGCTGCTTCACTTGCACTTTCTACAGACCTGGAATTAAGCAAATGAAAGCAAGATCTACATTCTAGCAAAAAATGGATAGGATTAATGCAAATATCTCCGATGATAGTGAAGGACAAATGCAGAAAAGTACAACTGTATTGAGTGTATTATCTATTACCTACGATAACGTGATGCAATTACAAACAAAAGGCTGAAGGCCAAGCAGCAGAGGAATATATAGCATGCTTGCATAACTAAGAGCTTGATTATTAAGGAATTGTCATGGCAGAGGGAAAAAAAAAGGGAAAGTCAGACAAGTTGATAGGTATTAAACTCTGCTGTCTGATATTCAAGTATACACTCGAAAGGAGGTCACATTAGTTCATCAGGCACCAAAGCAACCTACTTGAATGGTGCTAAAGGTAGAATGCAGACAAGAAGAAGAGGATAAAGAAACGAATCATCATTGATAATGTCAGCAATTTGGGAATATGAACTCACATGGGTACTCCTACTAAATCTTTTAAAGCACCTTTTCGGAGTTGCCGACTCAAATATTGTATAGCCATACCAGAAGCCTTTCCAGACCCTAAACCAACAACCATGCCATTTCGTATGTATGTATCAACCTAGAAAATCAACATGAAAATGAATTTTCCCGTAAAATTCACCACAAATAACCATTTGTAGAAAACAATAAGCTAAAGTAAAACTGCATAAGCATGGACAGATAACAAAAGGGTTTTCCCATATTTGGACCCTGTACTCCTCAAATTTTTTTAAATGAGACCCTCTACTCTTTTTTAGTTTGATTGATACCCTTTATTTTTTGAGATTTCTTACTTTAGATCCTCCATTATAATACCACCAATCAATGATTGACATGCCACCTTTACTATATGAGATTTCTTACTGTACAATGTCACATGTTTAATGGTTTTATGACAGAGGGTTTGAAATAAGAAATTTCAAAAAATAAAATATCTCAATCAAGCAAAAAAAAAAAAAATATATATATATATATATAGAGAGAGAGAGAGAGAGGATCTCAATAAGAAAAAACTCAAAGAGTACCGGGTATAAATGTGTGGAAAAACCGATAAAAAAAACTCAGCAACTTGCTGAGCACCTTAGCCCTTTGAACATGGATCCTAGTCCTATCCCTTCATTTAACCTTCTTCTAAGCATTTTTCCATTTTTCTCTCCTATTTTCAACGATAAAGATGTATCCCAAATTCCCAATATTCTTTCAGAAAAGATTACTTGTCTTCAAGATCCTTATATAAGTACCGCTCAAAAGCCATGAGTGATTCCAACAATAGAAGCATAAACAATAAGGATAAGCAAAATTTTAAGGGGAAAAAAGAGAAGGGGGGGGGGGGACACTAATGAATTAAATCCAATTCCCACCAAACTACGATGAGAATTAAAATCAACAACTGAAGTTCAAAACCAATGACTTGAATGTACGTTAAAAATGCAATCCCAAATCAAATCCAATTCAAGAAACCTATAAACAATGCAATCCCAAATCACATCAAGAACATAAACTGATTTCTTGGTACTGAAAACCTACATTTAGTGATAAAGAGAAGAGCATAAAGAGTGAAACTTATTATCAAATTTGTAAGAAAATGAAGAAAAAGTTGAGAGGAGGGATGATAATCATACAGTGTGCTTAGCTGCATGGAGGAGAAGAGAAGAACTGTCAGCTCTAGTGATAGGGAAAGGAAATGTTTTCTTGCATGTTCTTGAACTTGACCTTGAACTAGTTTTGATTCTTACAGGAGTAGAGTACACAAGTGTTGATGTTGCTAATGTTGCCATCCTTGAGTGACTGTTACTTTCCCTCCTCTCTTATCCTTTTCTGTTTTCTGGTAAACAACAAACAACCACCAGATTTCATAAAAATACCGCCATTAACAGCCCGAGAGCTAGAGAGGTGCGTGTTTCGTAGCCCAAAAACATGGTATAGCTTTACATGCCAACCTTGTACGAACTAGCCCAATGTAGTAAATCTCTCTATTACAAACAACAGCATAGCCCAAGTCCAAGGAATTGGCTGATGAAATATATTCCTATAGTGCCATCAGCAAATTATCTTGAAAGTACGTAGATCATTTACATGTACCAATCAAGATTTAATAAAAGTCTAAACGATTGAAATCTCCCTGAATATTTAGTGATTTTAGAATCAATTTTTCAATTTTTAATTTTAGATTGTATCTTGCACGAACTATTTTTCATTTCAGTTATGATTTGAAATTTAAAAGTTTTTCATTTTATCAAATAATACACCGTATTTTCATATATTTAAATTTCCGATTGAACTTTTCTTTAGTTATTTTTTATTTAAAATTAAATTTTTCTATTATATTTTCATTATTCTAATGACTGAAATTTATGTAATTTGCATATAGAAGATTTTTTAAAAAACTTTTTCAATAGCTAAAAATATGCCAAAACTTATAGATATTTTGTCTTTCTAAAATTGTTTCTTTTCTTTTAAAATATTTTTTAATTATTTACTTCTTAACATTTAGGATGAAAGAAACAAATTTTAGAGATAAAAACAAAACATTTATAAATTTTGATATGTTTTAACCCATTGAAGAATTGTATTTACACATTAGAATTAATGAAAATCTAACAAAAAATTTCGATTTCAAATAAAAAAAAATCGGAGAGAGATTTTACTGTTATTGCTTATATATATATATATATATATATATATATATTTACAAAGGATCTTCATTTTCAGCTCCTACACAATTTCCAACTTTAACGAATTTTCCTCAATTTTCAGTCCCATCACCATCTCAACCGATCTCATTATAGACTCACAAGTCACAAGTTAGTAGGTCCAACGGCTAGGACACAGAGCTTCAATTCACCTAACTCGTGATTAGCTATGGAAAAGGACATTCTAATTACCAAGAGACATTCCAATCGTTACTCTTTTTAAGGCCACTAGCAAGAACAAAACAAACAAGACCAAATCATAACGGTTAGACCACCACAAAATTCTTTTCTTTATCAAGAAAATCATGAGGGATAGATTTCATGATGACCGTTAAAAGAGACTACGTTCAGCATTTCTTTAATTAGATCAATATCAGATTATATTTAATATTTGTTTTTTTTTTAATTCATAACCTATACACAATATAAGTAATCCTCCCAATTGTATTATCATAAAAAAAATTAGAATCATCAAAACTCAAATCTTATTTCAATATACAATCGTTAAATTAAGCCTACTTATATATTTTTTATTGATTTTAAAAGTTGAAATTTTAAGCTCACCCGTAGCTTATATCTTGTACTATACAAAAGAGATTTAAGAGTTTTTCAAATGTGAGAATCAAAACTCTTGATCTAGTGAGTCAAAAACACTTTTTTTTTTTTTTTTATCATTCTACTTATAATTTTCGGTGGTCAATAAGATTTCTTGTTTCATTATTTTTTTTAGTTCTACTCTTGAAACTAATATTTAGTAAACTTTATTTTTAAAAAATGCATTAAACAAACGTAAGAGATATATTTTACAATTGTTTAAAAAGAAAAATTTAATATTGATTTATACATACATTAATTTACCATAAAAAATATGATCTAACCGCAAAAGAGTTGTCTTGATTTTATTAAGATTAAGGTTCAATTCTCATTATTTACGAATAATTAACTATAATTATTCTTTAATTTTATCAAACTTAGGCTAATTTAATTTTAAAAGAAGTCTAGTGATTGATCAAAAAATAAAAAGTTATTCATGATTTAGTAAGAAAAGTGAGGAATTTAATGTGGATTAATATAAAAACTGATCCGAAAATACTCCTTTCTATATATATGAGTTAATTTAATAATACACCTCACTACCTAACAAAAAAAATTGCAAATAAAAAAAGATCAATGTTTTGAAGCAAAAAGCTTAGCATTTTACGATGTGATTAAGGTGCCCTAAAATTTTGATCTTATCCCATAAAACATGGGATGGTCAACCTGACCCTTCTCTCATGAACTCACATGGAGGTGGTCAATGATGGAAATCAAAGAGAAAGAGATCCTAATGATGGTAGGATCGGGTTCTTTTGAGCACACTAAGGGACCCTAACGACTATATTTAAAGAAATTGGTCTCCAACTGTGGAAGATGATCGCATAATAAATATGACCCACCACTTTGACAAAAGAAAATTATGGTCGCATAAAGAAAGCAATCCAATGCGCAAAAGGAATAGTGAGATTCCATGAAAATAATATTTGGAATCCTATACCAAATTCCCCCATGTTTTCCACTTTCACATGGAGTAAATTATAAATTAGTCCATCTAGTTTAAGAAACAAATTAATTAGTCCTTTTTATTTCAAACACTTATTATTTAATCCTTTTTAGTGTTGATCAATATTTTAGCTTAATTTACTATTAATTTATTTTAAAAATATCTTCATTTCTCATCAATATTTTCAATAATATTTATTTTTTTGAAATAAAAATTTTAAAGAATATCTAATGAAAAAAAAGACTAAATAATATAGAATGGAAAAATATATAATTATCTCATCAATCTTTTTGTAATATCTATTTATTTTTTTCTATTTTTTGACGTAAAAAAATTAAAAAAGAAAATAAAATGGATAGAAGAACTAAATAATAGTTTTTGAAACAAGAGAAACTAATTAGTTTGTTTCTGAAAATTAGAGGGACTCGATTATAATTTACTTCTTTTACATGTGAACTTTAAGAAGAGTGTTCATTGCAGTGCAGTCCCACATATCCTCCATATGGTATCTCTCATTCTTTCACAATGATTATTGTTATTTTTTTATCATAAGAAATATTTTGTACATTCTTCTCTTTCTAACATCAATAGTCCAAAATATTTTAGCATTTAAAATTACATAGAATGTACTATTTATTTACACTCTAATATTCAGATTGGATTAGTGAATCATAAACTGATATAAATAGACTGAATTTTCTTTGGGGAAATTGTATTCTAGCCCTTGTGGTTTTAACAACATTCTACTTCAGCCCATGTAGTGAAAAATTTCCTAACGTCAATCTTAAAGTTTTCGTATGTTTCAGAATGGTTTTTTACCGTTGAATTTGTGTTTTTAATTTGACATTAGATCACTCGTACCAGGAATCTTTTACCGCATAAGACTTATTGAGAAATTGTTGATCTACTAATTTCTTATTTCTCTTTTATTTCTTAGTCTTCAACAATTAATTATTTGAGCGTTAATCGTAAATAGGATTAGTTTTTATCTTTTATTTTTAAATTTCTTAAAAAGATTATTATATATACTAGGGTTTGAAAGGAAAAACTAAGATAAAAAAAGGAAAAAATGGTTGAAAAATGTAAACATTCATGCTGAAACAAATCTTCTTCATATAAAGCTTATTTTATTTAAATCGAAAAAATCACATGCTTTTTTAAAACTATGTGCTATGGCTCGAATCCATAGTCAATCCTATTTTCGATAGGAGCAATTTACAATTGAATATTAAGTATTTAAGCACAAGTGTACATGTTGAAACTTATGGAAAATTTTAATTTATAGGGACCAAAGTGAAATATTATAAAATCCAACTGTACTAAATATGGTTGTCTACTCCTATTCTTTTCAACGCATGAACGCTGAGTTGTACATTTCTGAATGGATACAAAGGGTGTCACGGGCAAAGGCAAAGACAAAAACCTGTGAAATTGTAACGTTGGGAATAATTATTGGGCAACCACAAAGAAAGATCAGAAAACCCTAAAAGGCAACAATCATTTTCATACTGGACATTTTCTTCCCATATTTCCTTATCTCGTTTCTGTCTTGCTCTATTCTTTTACCCCATTTTCTGCTCCCCAAAAAAATTTCTTCATTTATGACATTTTTCATTTAATCATATACTTCTAGATTTAATGTTGTTCAGCACCTGATTGGGATGGAAGATGTGAATCTAGATGCTGAAAAATATGAAAAGTAGTAGTAAATAAATTATTTTTGTTTGGTCAAAATTAAAATTTAATTTTTATTATTTATAAATAATTAGTTGTAATTATCTTTTAATAGTTTTGGATTTGGACTGATTTGATTTAAGAGACAATTCAATAATTGATTAAAGATTATGTGTGTTCTGATTTTAATTTTAACTTGAGAAGTGATAAATTTAATTTCGTTTGATCTAAAAACTAATACATAAATATATTTCTAAATTTATTACTGTAATCCCAACGTAAAAATTCTAACCTGAATTCTTGAAAATAATGACATAATTTTCGATTGAAATACAAACTTATTATTCATTTCAATGTAAAACACTACGTAATCTCATCTGTTAAAATTATTACTATACTATAACTTTCTCAGAACAATCCTATCATTCCCTTTCTAGCATCCATTTGAAAAACTAACGAACCATCCTTGAAAAAGAAAAATCTACATGCCATTTTCATGAAATTGTTTTGAATAGCTTCATGTAATTTTCCTGTTTTTGGCCACAATTTGATGATTTGAACTTTATTTTTTCGTTCAGGTATGAAGTATCTACCTAACTACAGTAATTAAGCATAGATTTAACAGTTTGACCAGTAAAGTAGAAAAAATCAAGAAATTATTTTTCACCCACCACAATGCCAGCAAAGAACCCAAGAAGTCCAAAAACATGAAGAGAAAAACAAAAGAAACCGTTCATTATCAATCCGATATTTTTCTAACTTTTTATTAAACAAAACGTTCATATTCGCAGTCCCCAAGAAAAGTCTAAACAGTAGCTTCTTTTTCTATACCATAACACTTCAGCTATTAATACTTTCTCAAAAGTGAAGA